AACATGTACAATCTGACGGACAACTACATCAAACCATTGACCATGCAGGCCGGTGGGATGAGCTGGGCACTACTTCGGAACCCTCAGGGGATTCCCTGCGACCTTTTCCTTACTCATTCCTGGCGGGAGGGAGCCTTGGAGTTCATTGACAAAGTGCTTGCCAGCTGGCCTCGAGGAAAGAGTGCTGCATGGTGCTGTGTCCTCGCCATGCCGCAGAATCTTTCCGACTACATCAGTCGTCTGATCCAAGTGCCCCGCACCTCTCCCTTTGCCTTGGCCCTGCAAAATTCTACTCACATGCTCGCAGTGCCTACGAGGGAATGCAGCATCTACTCGCGACTATGGTGCGGCTATGAGGCATACCTGGCGACGTATTATAACAAGGTGGTGATCACTGCCAGGTTGCTGGGAAGCAGCAACATGCAAGCAGATTCCTTGCAGATAAGATTGTAACTTGTAGAAGGTCAACGAAAGGCGTTCAGGACATATGGATTGGTATCATTTGCAATGATAGCGTAGTCCTCGCTGCCCCTGCAGGCCTTCGTTGGAATGGCTTCCTTCCTTGGCTGTGGGAATGGCAATTTGGGCTGTAGGTGCCATTGCCGGATTTTTCTGGAGCACTGTCGGGGCAGAAAGCACTGCGAGCTCAACAGCCACCTTTGAAACATGGAAATCGGTGACCCACGCCCTGCAGGTCTCCTACGCCCTGGGAATGCAACCCCCATTCGCGTTTGAAGATGCAGCGGCCGGCTGCGTGGTGCTGGTGGTCCTTTGTGGCCGCTCATCGCACTGTGTTGCCTTCCTCAACCTTCTGGGTGCCTTAGCAGTTGGCTTTATCCTCGGCTTTTGGGCCAAAATCTTTGGTGCACTTGCACAGCTGCCGCTCCGCATCATAGCGGGAGACCCTACTGGAAAGTTCTTTTTGATTCCGCTGTTTGCTGTTTTCGTTGCAACCAGCGAGATGGATCGACTTCGTGCTTTGCAGCGAAAGCAAGAGGCCACACTCCTGGAATTGCCCCAGAATGCTCGTGTCCAAGATGCCCAGTGCGGGAAGCCAGAAGACACGCTCACCATCACCAATGAGATTGGCGACCGCTGGGGCCATGTAGAAGCTTCAGTCAAGGTGCTTTTGGACTCGGGGATGTCCACGCCGGCATTGAGGGAAGTCACGCAACATGGATTTTCTGTGCGAGGCCTCGCGGATGTGAAATTTTCCCGGTGTTGGCTGGGCCTGGCTGTGTGGTTGTTTCACTTCCTTTTATACGGAGGCAGTGATGCTGTGCTGGGCGTCATCAATGGCATGGTCGTGGGTGTCACTGTGGTATTATGGTGCAATGCGGAACGCGATGACAAAGCCTTCTTGGGTTCAATGTCCGTCAAGATTGTGATCACTGTGGCCGTCTGCACTTATGCCATCTCGTACGCATTCCATCTCGATCATAAACTGGACGAGGACAAAAAGGCGGGGTTGCTCAACAATTGAAAAACAGAAACAAATGTCAGCCCCTGTTGCATGATTCCTGAGGCTCGGTTCGGTGACTTCGTGCTGCTTGGAATTGCGATTGTTTGTCTTCTCTGTCACCTAGCTGGCCTTAAGGGATTCATGCGTCTGCCTGTTGCTCGGTGTCTCTTTGGGGCGCTGCGACCCAGGTGCTAGCAATCGAAGGGTTTTTTAATGAGCGGTGTGGGGCTACAGACAGTTTGCAAAAGCCTCTCCTCCAGTTGCGGCAGAAGACCGCCGGTACAAAGCTGCGGCATCATGTGTCACAAAGGAAGTGAGTCAGCAGCTCCCCGCGTGCAATTTTAGTCATTGCTTAGAGAAGTGTGAGGCTTTGTAGGTACAGACAGTTTGCAAGAGCCTCTCCTCCAGTTGCAGCGGAAGACCGCCTGTACAAAACTGCGGCATCATGTGTAACAAAGGCAGTGATTCAGCAGCTCCCTGGGTGTCGCTCTTCCAGTGCACGCTATGCCCTTATCAGACTCTAAACATGTGTTTCCAGTGTATAGAATGTCTTGCTGGAATGTCCTCACTACATGCTCACTACATAGCAGATTGCCAGGCGCATCGCGGACCAGCCTCACTAGCGTTCCTTTCCATGGGTTGTATCAACGGATGGATACCTAAACCCATACAAACCTTAAAACCTATAACCCTAAACCCATACAAACCTTAAAACCTATAACCCTAAACCC